ATATATATATATATATATATATATAAATTAATGTAAGTGTATTAAAAACTAGATCATTATATATATTTATATAATTTTATACATAATTTACTAGTCATATTTTGATACCGCTGACTGTGTGTCTTGTGTATTTCGATTTGAACAGTCACTCAATTCTCAATTTATTATTATTATTATTAATAAATGTGTGTGTCATGAAGAATAAAATCAATCATTAATGTTTTGGAGGGGGAAAAAAAGCAGAAGACGACAAATGTTCTTTTTTTTATTTTTAATCACATTTTATATAGTTTTCATGACATTTTATATGCACATATTTTCAGGCAGTGCACGTACAGTACTTTCCCATAGATATATGTAACACACACATTTGACACAAACTGAACCACAGTGTTCACAATGGGGTACTGACATCAGTACACGACCAGAGGAAGAGGAGTTCATCATCATCACCATCAGTCTTTAGTGTCATCTGTAGATAATATTCATCTCCCCCAAACCCACTTCACTCACACACTCCAAAAATATTAGTCTGACTCCATTTCACTCCCTTTGGCAGTTTTTTTTTTTAACAGTATTGGCCAGTATTGTTCGTTTATTGTATTTCATTTTATTGTTTCTTCACTCCCAGACACTCAGAGGAAAGCCAGGACTACCATTATCATAGAAAAGCATTATTGCTCCTGTCTGTGAATTAGAAACAAGGAATGTCAAAAATGTTCTTTTTGGTTTCAGAAACACCTAGAATGTTACACAACTGTTACGTTGTAAACTCAACATGGGTGGTTGCCAGGGGCGTTGCTATGTGATGTTAGTTTTTTAGAATGTTGCTACATGGTTGCTAGGGTGTTTTGCATGGTTGCTAGGTGGTGGTTACATACTGGCCTTTTTTTTTTTTTTGGCCAGATACTCAGCAAACATGAAATCTTTGGGATATATTTTATTTATGATATTAAACCCATGTAGCTACAGACCCTCTAAATTTGTCAGCTATCTTTTCCTCCAATCAAATGTCAGAGAAATCATTTCCATCTCTTTGATAAGGCCGGATATGACCAAAATCCAAAAGGGAAACACATATACTGCTCATTTACACGAGTCAAGTGTGCCGTTTTATCTACAGTTTTTGTCAAAAACACATTGGTTTTTGTTTTCTAATTCACAGGAGTGGCTGGCTGCAATAAAATTCATATCATGCGCGAAATGATCTCAGTTTGCATTGCATTGCAATGAAACTGTAAATGCAAGTAGCATTTAAATAAATATTTCTGGGTTTGGTGCAACTTAAGCTGAATGAGCAACAGCTGTGGAATTGTTTATCTTAGAATTTGAGCAAAAACAAAGGAACAACACATGTACAGTAATGCACTTTCAGTGGAAGTCTGCAGTGGGATAAATGCTAAAATATACACCGTTTTGAACATATAGCCACAAAACTTAAATATCATACATGTTAATAAAACAATAGTCTTATTAGAATTTGTCTTATTCTGACCATGTTAAATCCAGTAACACTCCACAGACTTGGATTGTACAATAAGTGCATTTTGGTGTGTTTTTAGAGACTGAAGGATGAAATTATTATCCGTCACCCACAGGGCTTCACTAGTCTTCTAGAGTTTGTGGTTACACTGGGATTGATATTCAACACTGGCATCTGGCTGTAATCACTGTAGACAAACTCATTCACCTGTAATTCATTCCTCAATTGTTCCTTTATATATCTGCATATATGTATATATATATAACAGCATGTGTGTAAAATAACTGAGCAGACAATAAGGTCTACATTTCTTCTCAACACATCAAAAAAGTGTACATTTCCTTCCAGAAGAACGTGTGTTATGTTATTATTAGTAGTTGAACTGTGAGAATGGAATCAGTGTATTTTATTGTTGTAATGTGTTAAATGGGAATTTAGTTACACTAGCTTTCAGCAGTTGAAGTCTGTAAGTTTTTTGTTTGTTTGTTTGTTTATTTGTTTTGTTATTGAAAAGTCGCCAAGCCTGCATTTGTTTGATCAAAAATACAGTAAAAACAAAAATATTGTGAAATATTTTTACAATTTAAAATAGCTGTTTTCTATGTGAATATATAGTAAAATGTAATTTATTCCTGTGATCAAAGCTGAATTTTCAGCATCATTACTCCAGTCTTCAGTGTCACATGATCCTTCAGAAATCATTCTAAGATGCTGATTTGCTGCTCAAGAAACAGTTCTGATTATTATCAATGCTGAAAACAGCAGCTGTTGAGTACAGTAACATTTGCAATAGAAATCTTTTGTAACATTATAAATGTAATTACTGTCAATTTTGATCATTTTAATGCATCCCTGTGGAATAAAAGTATCAATTTCTCTTTAAAAATAAAAACTTACTGAACTGTAATGTACATGCAAGTCTCATTTTTAATTTCTCTAAGTTGTTTTTGAATGCCGCTCTAACATGAGGATGTTTGAATCGCCTTTCTTTGTCAAGTTATTAATTATTAGTTAAAAACAAGTACAATGTGGAGTCGGCATTGTTCAAATGACCAGTGGGATTTTAAGTTACATAAACACCTGACAATTTCTCCAATTGATCTGCTCTGATACGTGATATTTGACCAATTTCAGTGCATAAACGTGAGGAGCCTGCAGAGATCTCATGATGTCTATGTGAAGGATGGAGGGTTAGACGGACCAGACCTCCACCTTAATCCATTTTGCCTTCGACTACTTGTTGTCATGGTAACCAGTCGGATGCATGCCGAAGCCACATGTTATACTTCTTTGCATGCAGGTCTGTCCTATTGAGCATAATTGCTGACTAGATATTCACAATATCATTTCAATATTAAATTCAGATTTTTAAGCAATCCGCTCTGTATGAATGCATCGTGATATTATAGCTTATATCCTGTTTTTCCTCAGCACCGTGTCATGTTGTGGCAGGCGGCATCATTATCTCTCTCTCTCTCACCGTGTATTTGCTCTAATGCCCGACTTTCTAGTTGCTAGGAGACAAGTGCATGAAATTTCCCATTGTTATGGTCATTGTTTTTCCTTGTCCTGTTTTTATCCTTCCTGTGAACCGACACCTGTGGTTTTGTTTTTAAACTCACACGATTTGTTTCAAGTAAAATGCGTGTGTTCGTTTACAGTACGTTATCTTTTTAAGATGTTTAAACAGGATTGAGTATCTCATACATCTGTTTTCAATCGCTCTTGCACTCCAAGCAGTGGATTTGATTTATGAGGGAAGACGTTAAAATGTGATAGTACGAGTATGACGTGAACACAGATTTTGTACAAACGTCCTTTAAAGTCAACATGAAAACAACCCTGTTATTTTCCAATCACATTGTGCACGATTTATTAGTGCTCATTATTTTAAAGTAACAGCTGTTTTTCGTAATTGTACTTTTACTTCTTGTACCTGTAATGCCCAATATGTCATATTATGGAAGTAAAATAGGTTTCATGTTGACTTTAAACACTCTCCTGGGTTTGATCTCACTGTTTTTTATAATTAACCTCAGCGATTTCTTCTCTTTCTCATACTTCAGTCCTGTCTGGACTTGGACACACTTGATTTCCATCCTCTGGATGAACATCCAGTCCTTTTCTTTAGACAGCACAAGAAGGAAAGATATTGTCCAAAGGTAGCATAGAGAAACAAAGGCGTTGTGATGTCATAAACCACCATTGTTGGTTTAAAACCAGCTGCTGCTTTTCCCTCATCGCTAGAGAGTCTCTTCGAACCCGTGAATCTTTCTTACCCCCGTCTGGACACCCGCTTGGGCCTTCTGACCAAAAACCAGCTCTCAGCCAAGGTGACGGTTTGACAGCCTGCCAACAGCCTTCTGATTGGTTCACCCCGAAAACGTCAATCATCAGGTTACTTGTTAAGGGGCTTGTTGACCTTGAGAGTCCCTGTGCTGCTGTTGCCGTTGGCAACGGTGAGCGTCTGGACGGGCGTGGCCTCGTCGGCTGTGGTCTGGCTAGCTGTTACCATGGTAACCATGTCCTTTTTGGAATTGTCAGGTTCCCAGAGGAAGAACTCGTGCAGGAGTGTGTTGACCGTCTCGGGACACTCCATCATCACCATGTGACTGCCTTCCTCGATCACTTTCAGGAATGCAAACAAGAGGATCTGAAATAAAGACAATTTACAAATATTTAAAAAAAAATGTATGTGTGTGTGCACACACATATATATATGCACACACATATATATATATATATATATATATATATATATATATATATATATATACACACA